TTTATTGTAACATAATTCATTCTTACTTATACAAATCAGATCATGAGATTGTTATTGCCTATTTTTCTAATATTCAACACAAATCTCAATCTCGCTCAAGAATTAATGATACCAAAAGAAAAGTCCCTCTCCTCAGATCTATGGATTCTTCAAAGTGGGCAAGTTTTGCTGATTATTTTAACACTTATTACCACAATCACAATTTTGATCAACTAAAAGATATCATATCCAATCATGCAAATATGAATAATCTCTGGATGGAATTAAAAAAGGCTGTTTTGGATATTAGTAAATCTAAAATTCCTCACAAATGGATCTTTACGCAGGATCGTGCACCAAAACCAAAAGATCTTTTTCAATACTACCCTTCTCTCACCAAGATTGAAAAGATTCTTTTAAAATTTCATTCAAAAAGGCTTAGAGAACGACTTTGGCCTATTAGTGAAGAATGGAAACATGATCAAAAAGTTGTTGCAAATATTGTCAAAGACATTTTATATCCTCTTGATCCTTTGCCTCAATTTTTAAATTTATCAAATGTTAGAGATGTTAAAAAAACTCTCAACTGCATCTATAAAGTCTTGTATAAACTCACCAAATTAGATGCCAAAAAAAACACTGATGCACAAATTAAATCTCTTATTGGTAAAAGATGCAATCAACTAGAATCTCAACCTGACAGGATAATTGATTCTATTCTACAAAGGAAAAAGAGAAAAATTACTTTGGATCGAGTCTTTATCAATCATAATGATGGCTCTAAATGCTTCACCCTAGATCCTGATGAAATCAGAAAAGTTGCAATCAACCATTTTCAAAATAATGCATTACCATCAACACCCCCGAGATCTCTAAATGGAAGATGGATCTTACAATATCAACCAATAGATGACATATCTGAGAATATATATGACAATATTATGCAACCTCCAACTTATAATGAATTGTGCTCAGTTCTTACACATTTAGCTAAAGATAAAGCTGCTAGACCTTCAGGTATTCATAATGAAATGTTTCAACACCTGGGAGACAAGTTCAAACCTCTAGTATGCCAATTAGTATGCATGTACTTCGATATTGGTCATACTCCTAGTGAATGGAAAATTGCACATGTATATCCTATTCCTAAACCAATGGAATGGGAATGTGACATTACCAAGATCCGTCCAATCACCCTTTTAGAAACATTAAGAAAAGCATTTGTCAACGTTATTACCAATCGACTCTCAAAGATTCTCACTAAATATCATGTCTTAAAAGGCAACAACTTTGCTAGTTTACCTGGAGGTTCTACAGAAAAACTGATCAAAATTCTAAACATGTTGTTAGAAGATGCTAATGAAAACAAAAAA